TAAAGAATTAGGCCTAAGTTACTTTAAAATGTTTTGGAATACATATAGAGCAAATATTATTATTATGCAATTCATAGTTTTCTAATAACGCGTCAGTTGTGGCAACTGCGTTTCTGTTGAGACAGCTGCAGTTGTTTGAAGAAACAGATGTGAAGCTACTGGAAGAGAAGTTGTATTTTAAAAAATTACGGTGACTATTACAGATTTACTTAATTTTCAAAAAGTCAAACTGTAACTTTCTGACAATCACCAAACTTTAGCAGCTCTGATTAAAAAAACAGCTTTCTATAACATAATTTTTTAAAAAACAACAAGAAAGTTGTTCTCCAAACAAAAATGTAGTGGTGATCTGAAAAGCAAAGCCTGTAAAAAGCTGTCCTAAAGAGACCCAAAGATTATACTATCGAATTTTCTTACCACATAGGTAATAGAACTCTATGTTGTGAGAAAAAAAATTAAGTGGTAAAAAAATTCATGTTAATATTTTTCTTACTTTCAATTTCTTTTCAAAATTAATCTACATTAATACCATTTTTCACATAATTAAATAAACAATTGTTTTATACACTCAAAACTCAACAATCACTTTTAAGAAAAAAATATTACGTTCGAATAATCATACGTAAGAAAGACAACGTGGATCACATCACACCATTTGTATAGCGACGTGGTACGATTGATGTCATTGTCCATAATATTTTCAACAATTTTAACGCCATTAAATCCAAAAATATCTCTTAAGAAATGTATAGTGGTTTTATCATCATTATTTTTGTTTAAATATGTGTTTTTTTCCTGAATTGTTAACAGGCAACACTTATTAGGTTAAGAACTGACTGCTTACAAATGATTTAGTATGTGAAACAAAATTTACAAAATCTTTTTCTTTTGCTTATTTAAATTAGTAAAATGTTACGTATTTGTTTGACTCTAAATTTTAAAATATATGAATTCAAAATACTGATGCAGCGCTGCATTCTTGGCGAGGGTTGATGTCAGCTTGTCCATAAGAAAAAAATTTCAGTTTTAAAACAGTAATTGTATTATTATTTTGTTGAAAAATGAATAGTGTTCAATGGTATCACCCCTTCATAAAATATTATTTTTCCTATTTATAAAAGAGAAGTATAAAGGTGATATTATATTTTTACTCTCATTTGGAAGGGTAAGTACAAGGGTATTTATGATATTTTACAAGTGTGAGCTTATCATTTAGTTGTCTTCTGTCTTGGCCGACGAAGCTTAGTCGGCTTCAGTTTGACTAGGTTAGTTGGTTGGCTGAGCTTGGTCAGTATGGTTCGGTTGGATAATCCAACTTATCTTACTTTCTTTAATCCCTGGTGAGGAGTTTTTGGGATCTCCGTGGAATGATCTAGGATACTTTGAGGAACTGGATCTTCCTTTGAATCAGCTTTACTGTGGGATAAGTTATTGTTGAGATATTAGGAAGAAGAAAAATAAGAATCGACACAAATCTAGAAGAACACACAGAGATTTAACGAGGTTCGACAAAGATGTCTATGTCCTCGGGACCAAAGCGGCGAGTTCCTTTCAATATTCAAAAAAGAGATTACGGAATAGATGATACCTCTTGGGGCTTGGGGTTATTAAAATGTCTATTTATAACCCCAAGGGTAAACCCTAAGTACAATATGTAATTACAACATTACCCCTGTACCGTACCGCGGGGCGTTGCACCCGCACCCCCAACCCACATAACGCAACATCCCGATTTAGACAGATTGTTCCGCTCCGCTTCATTCCAACATCTGACCCTATATGATATATGAGTCATACCATAACAAATCTCCACCTTGGCGAATATACAGTCTCTTAGGAGAAAAGATATCTGGGAGTTACACGTGCACCACTGTAGGTTGGGCCACCATGCTTCTTTTGCAACTGTAAACATTCAACAAGTCCAAGCAATGCATGAACTTATTGATAGTAACTAGTTTGGTCAACATATCAGCTGTATTCTCATCAGTATGAACCTTATGCAACAGTAACTCACCAAAAGCAATCAATTCTCTGATCTTGTGATACCTGATATCAATGTGCTTGGTTCTCGCAATGTACACTTGATTCTTAGCCAGATAAATAGCGCTCTGACTGTCACAATGCAACTGAACTCCACCTTGTTCAATGCCCAATTCCTTTACTAGCCCAACAAGCCATAAGGCTTCTTTAGCAGCTTCAGCAACTGCCATAAACTCTTAGTTGTAGATAATGTCACAATAGACTGAATTGTTGATTTTCAACATATAAGCCCTCCACCAAGAGTAAACACATACCTAGTTGTGGACATTCTGCCATCCAGATCACCAGCATAATCAGAATCAACACACCCCATAACTGAAGGATTATACAAAACTTGTTGCTTTGTAATCAACGTACCCCAAAATCAACGTACCCCATAGTTGATGATGCATATGCCATACCTTTGTACTATCATCATCTGACTCCATAGAATGAACTCCACCTACAATTGTACTCCCCAACATTGTACTCCCCAACAACTCCCCAACAGTTTGTAGATATTACATGTAGTTAACTTTCCTTTCATCACCGTCAGTGCACCCTTAATAATTTTAATGGTTTCCCTATCCTCATCTGCCTTAGGAATAAAACTATTTCTGTGTAGAAAGCCTAAGGAAATCAAATTCTTCTTCAGATCTGAAATATGTCAGACATCACATAAAGTTCTAACTGTACCATCATACATCTTAATTTTGATTTCTCCAATACCAACAATATTGCAGTATCTATCATCACCTAGATAAACTGAGCCATAATTAGTTGACCTGTATGAGTATGAAGTAAATGTATGAAGTAAATCACTCTCTGTTAGGTGTTATGTGATAAGAGTATCCTGAATCAAGAATTCATGCATCCGTGAATTGAGTTGATAAAATTGAGAGCATATTGTCATTACTGCAATCTGAATTGTCTCTCTGCACCACATTTACAACCTTTGATTATGCATCACCTTTATCCCCAGTCTGCTTCTTCAGTTTTGGACAATCTCTCTTCATATGAACTGATTCCTTGCAATTGTAGCAATGAATTGACTTTTTGCCTTTCAACTTGGATCTGAAATTTCGTTTTCTAGAACCCAACTTCTCTTTCTTCCTTCCACGATCTTGCTTACACTTAACATATAAACTGTCGCCATGAGAGCTTTCCCCTGCATTCTGCTTCCACTGGTTGTGAGCTAACAATGCTGCAATAATCTCATCAACTTTGACAGTTTCTTTCCCATATGTAAGAGTAGTCACCAGATGTTCATAGGAAGAAGACATTGAACACAACAAAATCATTGCTCGGACTTCATCCTCAATAGTCACATCAAGCCGTGATAAATCTGTGATTATTTAATTGAAACCATTAATATGCTGTGCCAGATTGAAACATTCTTGCATCTTCAGCCCATACAACTTTTGCTTCAGATGCAATTTATTCGTCAGGGATTTTAGTCATAAACTGAGTTTACAATTTCTTCCATATCTCCCCTGGAGATTTTAGATTTAGATTCATCACGTGATACATAACTTCATTTATCAGACATAGGCCTGTATAGTTACCGCCGCGTTATTGTAATTCTTCTCAATCTTCATCCTCCATGACATCTGGTTTTGCTGCCGCAAAGCTTTCAAGATTCCCTGTTGAGCCAACATATCTTTTACTCTTGCTTGCCACAATCCGAAGTTATCAGTTTCATCAAACTTCACCACCTTGAATTTTACACCAGAAAATGCCATTTGAAAATAACTCATGCAACAAATTCTTCTACAAATTCCTTGCTGAGAATCTTTCTAAAAAAAGATTGAAAAAATTCCCTTAATTAAGTTTTTCAAAAAAACAAAAAAATTTTTTTTTGAAAGGAAAGATTGAAATATTTTCTTAATTAAGCTTCCTTAATTAAGTCCCCATTAATTAAAATATTTCCTTTTAATTAATGAGTTTCAAAAACTTTTCTTTCTTCATCCTCCTCCCGTAAAGGAATGAAATAAGAGCCAATTTTATTGTGCCTTTAAAAAATCGCCTGCAATAGAAAGGAAACAAATCAGATTCAGATCGCGGTCCCTTAGAGGAATAGAATCTGGCGCCGCCCGAATTTCACCTCCACTCTTCGGCCAACAAAGGAATGCGAATCCCTTCCAATTCTGCTTCGCGCTTCGCCTCCCGCACCGAACAGAACTCCGCCTCTCGTGCAGAAGGAGCCTCGCCGAATCTGTCGCGCAGAAGGGAACCGATCACAGAAGAACGAAAAACCGCTACTTCCTCTTGCTTGCTGTCGCGGAAGAAGCTCTGGAGTCCGACTAGTTCGCCCGTTTGCGGTGAAGCAAAACTGCCGCAAACAAGAGCCCTCATTTCTTATGTTCGCAAGATCTCTCTTGGTCTCCGATCGTCTGCAAACTCCTGTCGCGATCCAAGCCAGCCGAAGCAGTACCACAATTGCCGAGACCCGTCGCCGAACTTCTCGGAACCGTCGCCGAACCCAAACTGGGCGCGAATCCTTCTTCTCCTCGCCGAAGTCCAGACCGTCGAACTTTTTTCTCAAATCTTCTTTTTCCTGCGCGGATATTTTTCTTCCCTGTCATCATCGCTCTGATATCACTTGTTGAGAAATTAGGGCGAAAAAAAATAAGAATGGACACAAATCCAGAAGAACACACAGAGATTTAATGAGATTCGACAAAGATGCCTACGTCCTCGGGAGCAGAGCGGCGTGTTCCTTTCAATATTCAGAATAGAGGATACCTTCTGGGGTTACTAACATGTCTATTTATTATCCCATAAGTAAACTCTAAGTACAATATGTAATTACAACATTACTCCTGTACCGTACCGCGGAGCGTTGCCCCCGCACCCCCAACCCACATAACGAAACTCTGCCCAATTTCCCGATTTGGACAAATTCTTCTGCCCTGCTTCATTCCAGCGTCTGTCCCTATATGATATATGAGTCATACCATAACAGGTATTAACAGTTATTACATCTAGCCAATTTTCTTATAGTTGATGACTGAAACTCTCTCTTGTCTCGTTTCCAGTCGGATGACTTGTGTTTGAGTCATCTGGTCTTCTTCTCCACCTCACTGCTCGATCGGTTTGGGCCTAGCTGACTTGTCTCATTTGATTTTACTTGTTCGGCCAGGTGGGAGTCACGATCCGCTGTTCGTGGGCTTGCCTCCGTCACACTTCTCTTTTAAACCGTTAGATCTATATTGAATCAGTGCAAACACCTTTTTCATATACATATGTGATATCAAAAATTTGAGTGTTACATGAATAAAAATAATAACAGCACATCTTAATTCGTTGAAACACAATCAGTTCCAGTTCCCCCAAAAATAGATCTTTTGTAAAGAAATGAAATAGAATTTCTGCAAAACACAGAACTAAATACAATTGTTCCATTGCACAACAATAATCATAGAACCAAAAGGGGGAGACGAATTGCTATTTACAAATTTTCACCACACCAACCATCTATTCTAGAGCAGCAGAACCATTAGGAGCTCCCGGCCGAACTCCGAATTCGACCTCTTCAATCTCCTGCAGCCCAAACCCTTCACCTCCACCCCTCAAACCCCCCAGCCGATCACCGGAGACCAAACCACTTAAACTTTCTCTCACCCTGCTTCTGCAGACCGGACAAATTGCAGTCTTCATCAGCCAAAAATCCACACAGTTCGCATGAAAGCTGTGTCTGCAAATAGGCAATAGCCTGCATCTATCACCCACCTGAAACCCATCCAAGCAAACCGCACACTCTCCCTCATTTCTCCTTCCCTTCTCCCCACTCCTGTAATCATAGCAGGGGAGCTTCTCGAGCTCGTCAGCCGAAAGCCCTTTGATCAAGTGTCTGTAGTCCTCTGCTTCTGCAACGTTGCCGATCCTCCCAATGGTCCAACCAACCACACACGCATGAATCATTACCACCACCACGATGCCAACCAGGAGGAGAGCTACCGAGAAGATTAATAGCATTATCACCCTTTGTAGACACTCCAAGCCTCTCTATCTGGACCCCTGGAGCTTTTCTTCGAAAAAGGTGTAAAAAATGAACCTTGCATAATAAAACACAAATCTTGCATATTCAGTTGAAAAGCTTAACCTTTTGGCATCTCCTGGAAATAGATTAGTACTGCAACTGAGCCATGGAAAGGTTTTGCGTGGAAGGAAGGGAGGAGTTTGTGGTATCTAAGAAGGGGAGAAATAAGCGGTGGGAAATATTTGGAGGATAAGTGACAAAGAAATGTTTCAGAATGGACTTGTAATAATAAGTTAGGCTTCCTTTGGATGCCATACTGAATTTTCTCAAGTATGACAATAATGAGTTGTTTAGAAATGTAGAAACTTACCAGAATGAGTTAAGATGGTGGTTAAGGTGTTAAATCTCGATTGCAACTGCTGAAGGTCTGTTTCAACCTTAAATTTTTAACTTTTTGCTTCAAATCGGATTAGAACATGATATAAAACAGATTTCTTATTTCTTACAGCCATTCTAGCAATAATTAAAATCTCTAACTTCTTATTTCTTACCCACAAGGCTTAAAAAGGATTGGTTTCTTGAGCAAGAGGAGATCGATCATCGACCATGGTTCATCACAAGGAATATCATTGGTGTGAATCACTACATTGGTGTTGCTTAATAATTTTTATCTCCTTCAGCATCTTCTTTCTTTTTGATTTAGTTGATTTGTAGTTAGAACGAGAGAAGATAACAAATTTGAACTATTAAATGTATGATATGTGTTAAAACAAAATTTTCAAAAAAAATTAATACATACAAATGTATCATATGATAATTTTACTATCAAGTATATATATAAAAGCATGAATAGAGGGAAACTCATATGAACATGTGACAATCTTCATATATTCGATTGGAGTCTGCATATAAATACAAGCATCCATAAAACTTAGGATTCCTGCATAAAATAAAATAAAAGAACACTACATAGGTGAAAAAAATATTTACAACATACGTTTATCTTCGGATAATCTTTCAAGCATCTACCCCTGAATCTTCGTTCTTTGTGGCCATATCACGAATCATAAAGCAATTAGCACGAATTTAAGAGCATTTTTTAAGAAGAAATGTTTAAACTTAAATTAAAAATCACACAGAGCTCTGATTTCAACAAACTTATAGTCAAACAGATCGACTTGAGTAGACATACCCAATGACGCCAAAATTGTCCCAATCGAGTTAATCAAACCCAAATCATGCTATTAAACCACTTTTAGAAGTTTTGTGTGGCTAATTGGTAGGTCAAATGAATCCTAAATTTGAAGTGCTTATAGTTAAATCTAGCGTCTTGATGAGAATAATCCAGCGAGCCCAAGAACACTCAGTTTTGATATCTTTAGGACACTTAATTGCCCACAAAAACATGGTCCAATAAGAGGAATCTCTCAGGGCCGTTCGATGGAGTGTTCTAGATCCCTTCCTTATTTGCAAGAAAACTACCCTATAATCCATAAATAGAGCCCTACCCCCTTCATGAAGAGAAACTTAGAACTTAAACCAGAAGAAGAGCTGGACCTGGAGTTGGTTCGCAAAGGAGTTGAATTCCAATATCGTTATGGATCTTAGACCTAACAATCACTTCCCACTCTCATAGTTGCCGACCCTCACCGACCACCGATCACCGACCATCATAAACCACCATTGACCACCCCTGCTCGTTACAATGAAGCCCTTCACAGAGTCACAACATACACTGCTGGGTAGAGAAAAGTTGTGTGAAGTAAAGTCCTACGCCGTAGAGTTATGAGACACCCTACGAAGCTGTGTGTTATCCTAAATATTGTGAAAGAATGCACTTCGAAGACAATGCGCCGAAGTCCTAGTAACTACTCCCAACTACAATCACTCTTGACCGATGTACAATAAATCATTCTGCATATAATCATTGTACTTTGAAGAACTTTCTAACCCTTTCCCACCCGCGCAATAGCTCTTGGGCGAGCATGCTTGTGCACAAATCACTGAACGCTCCTCTAGTGCATCTGCGCTCACATCACTGCTTCTGCTAACAATGAGAGTCAATCCAACCTATTTTTAGCATCTTTAAGTCTGCAGGCTCATTTTTCAATATTTTAAGCTCAAATTTAATAGTTTAAAATAAATATTGAGAATATTTACTTGGCTCATGACTCTGAAAAGGGTCTGCGCTAACATCCAAGGAGAGATTACACCTCATAATTTTTTCAAAATTATTATATTATCATATAATTTTATGACAATGTGAGAAATATTTTCTTTGTGCCTAACATCAGCATATGAGAGTAGAGGGGTGATTGTTATGTCCCTAAAAAGATCATTTGATCAAGCATAAAACGTACATTGGAACTAAAAATTAAAAAAAAAAAAAACCAATTAAGAAATGTCCAATTAAGAAATGTCCGTCCGAAATGTCCGTCCTCAAATTTATGATCATATGAGGTGTATTAGTGAGATAATCAAATGGCATAAAAATAATCTGATTTGAGCCCAAGTGAGCCCAGATCGTGCATTTAAAGCATAAAAGAAGCTTTGTGATATATTTTTAGGAACCAAATGATCTCTAAATCACTTACTTTCGACATCATTAAACCATTCAAATACTTACATCGGATCGAAGGTAACTCTCAGTTCATTTGATGGAGTGGTTTGTTGGGTAATGTGGAGACCCAGTCCACCGAATTTAATTAACTTCTTAATTAAGTATCTCACCTACCGCTCACCTACCACACCCACCTACCGCTCACCTATCACATCCCACCTGCTGCTCACCTACCTCCTACCTACCGCTCACCTACCTCCCACCAACCGTTCTCATGGTTTCTATAAATAGTCTCTTTTGGTTTAAAGGAAATACAAGCCAAGCAAAGCAAAGCAAGGCCATACCAAGTCCTATTGAGAGCTAAGAGAAAAATGAGGAAGAGAGAGAGAGGAAGGGAAAGAAGAAAATAGATATTTTCTTGTAAACGTTGTTGCGCTCGACGGTGTAATTCCTCGAAGAAATAAATCCTCTGCAACTTCGTGAACGTAGGCAAATTTGTCGAACAACGTAAATCTGTGTGTCGCTCTGGTGTTTTTTCTACGTGCAATTTTTCTCATTCCATTTTTCGCTTTATTGTCGTCTTTTTTCACTACATGGTTCAGATTAATGCAACATTTATGGAGGTCACCACCACGAAAATATATAAATAAATCTACACACTCTTCATGAAGGTGGACCGAGATGGTCAAATTGAAAGGAATTGCAATTTCTTGAGCATTTTTGAGTTGCACCACCACTAAGCCATTGATCCTCGTTAGGCTGCCACAATGCTGAACCACCATCGTTGGGCCATCATCAAATCACTATCACTTGACTGACGTTGGGTAATAGTTCTTGTCGGATAACTGTCACAGAGCCGATACTCGACCAACACCACCATCATCAAACCATCATCATCAAACTAACATTGGTATCATATCCGTCATACAACCCCTACCATTAGTATTTTATCACATTAGTAGGATTGGTGCCCATTTTCAACATGTTCCATCACTCTCTTTGTGAAACTCAAGTTGATAACCCCAACTCGTGTAATATTACTAATGTCTATTCAATGGCCGAGAAAGCCTTGTAACTTGCATTGACATAGCGTAATCATTTCAAGTGCATTATACCACATTTTTTTTTCCTTTGGTTTTTCCATATAAAAATCCTTGTTTTCTCCTCTGTCAGATTTTTCTTTATCTGTGACGGATTTTGATATAACACAAAGAAGTTAATGTACCACTCTACTGCCAACACAAATTTACCAGCACCCAACAATCAGCATCATCATCTTTCTTGAAGTAAAAGATATTTTTTCTTTTTTATTTTTATAGCATTAAGATGTTATAAATATGAATATCAAATTTTAGATATTTATACATAAGTAGATAAGGCAAATGTGCATGAATGTGATTTTTTTTTTAATTTTTTCTTACAAATGCATTATTTACAAATAGGTTAGCTTATCTATGGATGTGACATCATAAACAAATAATATAATAAAGGGAGGGGTGAAAGGGTAAGTGGTGGTCTTTATCTGTCAGTGTCCAAGGCCACATGTTTTGTTATTTAATTTAATGCGGAGCAAGTCCAAGTATGGCTAAGTTCTGATTGTGATTTTGGACTACACTTCGAAAATCATTATTGCATCTAAAATAGATTATAACAACTTTCATTACTAATAAAACGCTTATTAGTGAAATGACTACATAAAATAACTATTAACTTAGCCTAAATAATAGAACTTCCTTTGATGATTACAAATATTGTGGTCTATTTGGAGAAAGCGAAAGGTGTACTTCAAGATATCTTGCTTTGAGGAGATGAGTAATATTCTAGCACCCGCTCTAAAGTTTCCAGATACTCCGCCCACGTACAATGCCCACTGAGGGGACAGTAGAGGAGAAAAAGACGACTCATCAGAAGCAGAGACTACCATAAAGTCAACAGACAATACCACATACAGTGTACACCTCCATCGTATGTCTGAGAAGATATTTGAAGACCTTATTCATGAGTCATTGATAGGTCACATTAACATTTTTCAACCTGAATGGTATAACTTGGTAGCAGTACATAATCCCTTATTTGCCTGAAAGGAGGTGGCTTCCTCGTCTCTCGAATTCATATTTATTTGGTTGTACCCCAAAGTATGTATTCATGAAACTGAGCATTCGGTGTCCGAACGTGGCATTGAGGAGTTGATCTATGCACGGGAGGACGAAACTATCTTTTGTACAAGCCTTGTTGGGGTCGGTGTAGTCGAAGCACATTCTTCATGCACTGCTGGGATTTTTAACCATGACAACATTGGCTAGCCACACAGGGTGGTGTACTTCCTGTATGAACTTTGCCTTCAGAAATTTGATGACTTCTACTCGATGGCTTGTAAGCAACATGGGGTGAAGTTGTGCTTTTTTTTGGATGACTGTTAGAGGTAAACAAACTTCATCTAATGGTGTAGGCAGCAATTGTTGAACCTCACGTAAGAGCTAAAAGATCTCTAAGTGAGACTCCTCCAATCTGCGCATTTAGCATTTCAGAGAAGGACCTGACACGTCTTCGTTGTCAGGATAGCGTTTCTTACGGAGGGAAGATGAAGAAACATGCCGCCGTTGTCTTCGTGACTGCTCCCTGAAACGATGGGTGTTGGAGCGGGATGCTCAATAATAAATATTGTGTCAGGTGGCCAT